CTGACCTGGCTACACATTCTCCAGCTATCTCTAAGTATTTAGTGAGTTCAGGACAGTAATTTGTCTTTCATTCCAAGATACAAAGTAAATTTAAAATGACAGTATATTATGCCATAAGTTGATAAGGTGTAAGGAATTACAATGAAACAGTTTCTTTTTAATGACATCAAGATTTGTACTTAATTTGGACATTTTTTCATAGACCCATTCTATTTGGGGTTCAAGTTAGTAACTTGCTTGTATTTATGCTGTATAACAGGATTCGTGGTGCCATCCCCAGAGTGAGCTTATCTGAAGCCACAAATCTGTCTAAAGCCTGTCTCCTAGTGAGAAGTCCACCAAAGTATTTATTGTAGCCACAAAATTTCTATTAACTGTTTAGCTTCTAAGATTGGTTGAATCAAATCAGGAATTCTATCATTGAGAATTAACTTATCTGAATAGCAGTGCATCCTTATAAAGATCCAGTAGAAAGTTTGTTCAAACAGAGTCAGTAAATACCAAGAAAGCGAGGGTTCACACCATGCCAGATTGTTGAGAGATGCAGCAGTGCAGAAAAATGACGGATTGTCAGAGGCTGGAAGCAATTCTGGGGTGCATCACAGTACAGACCTTGCAAAATACCAGATCGCTTCCGGAAAGCTCACATGACTCCTGAACTTTCCCAGATCGATGGCTCTTGACAACACTAAGCCTGTACCTTGTATTTCTCCTGCCTCAACCCCTCAGGTGTGGAGATTATAGGATTTCAGTGTTGCATATGCCTATTTTCTCTTCCTTCCTCTTCTTTAAGTGTATTTCAGATGTGACAAACACCCTCCCTTATTTGCAGTACTGGGGACTGAACATAGAGCCTTGTGCATGCTATGCAAACACTTTTCCATTAAGCTATGTCCCTCTACAGCCAACCTGTGGTTTCTTTAAAATAATCTTTATTTATGCAAATAGCTAGCTCATTTGCTAGAGGTAGGGTCTGTCTAAACCACCCAGGCTCACCTTAAACTTCGATAGCTTTGAACTTGCAGTCCTTGTACTTCAGCATGGTTTACATCTGCCATACCCTTTCTTTTTAATTTCCATCTTTTGGATCTTTGGTTTCACCTGGAAAATCTTTCTTGACTTTTCCTTTCCTGACTCATTCTCTTACAAATTTATCTGTTGGTGAATATGGGTTGGTCCTTAATGAAATTTTAATCTTTTTCAGGTTCTAAATCTCTTCATGGTTGTCTTACATGGTTTCTAGTTCTTCTAGGGTAGAAATGAAAACTTAGAAGGGTTTTGTTTTCTTGCTTTTTTCCCCCAGTGTATCTCAGCAGCATTACCTGGGTAAAATCCTTGGATGATATTTTATTATACTTGTAAAAGAATGTCAGTATTATTAGTTTGCTCCAGAAGGACAAATAGGATCCAGGTCCCTCTCCATTCTTCACTTACACTCACCATGATTCTGCCAGCTGCTGTGTTTTAGTTTATATTTGCTGTGATTTTCCTTACATGAGAAAAATCTCTTACAGATTTTTTCATCATTCATACACTAGCTTATTATTAACTTCTACCTGATCACTCAAAATACATGTTTTTCCTTCCTTCCTAGTTCACATCTCACCTAAAGTACTAAAGTACTAAAATTTTACTTAACATAAGATACATATTTAATATTTGTGAGTAAAATTATTAAATGAATGAAAAATTCACTCCTACTTATAGTCTCACAAATGAGAAAAGGAGTGTGTTTTCAGTTTTGCATTTATCTATGAGTATGATGAGTATATGGTACTTTTGTACAATATACTGAATAAGTGAGGTTGAATTATTAGTGCCCATGACAATTCAGAGTGTAAGTATATAACACAGATAAACATATCATGTGTATTGATATTATATATATTATGATACATTCACATGATGACACTTAACACTAATGTTATTAAGTACTCAATAATATGATATTATTAAACAAATGAATTTGAAACTTCCTCTAAATATTTACAATAACTTTGATGGCCATAGTTACAGAAACAAAAAACAGAAGTTTGGCTATGAATAATATATAGTCAGAGAGGATATGTTTGGTTTGCATGAATTATTTAAAGTTCTAATTATAAAATGGTATTAAAATAAAATTGGGTGAATAACTACTAATTGGCATTTGTTGTCTAAGAAAAGGCCGAATAAGCAGTCCTGACTCCTGCTGTTTCAACAGTCTCTAGGAAATTGCAGATAAAGGAAAATTAGAATTATGCCAAAACAGAGGCTCAAGAAACTACTTGGTTCTAAGATCTAGTTGGAGCATCTATTATAAAAAGCATCAAGTTAAATAAACCCTGAAGTTATATATAATGGAGAATTCCATTTCTATGACATATTTATAACATTCAAATTTACAGAAGCAGGAAATTCATTGCTAGTTTCCAGGAACATGAAGGTATCACAAAAGAGCTATTTTTCAATGGCTATGAGGCTCTGTGTGTGTGTGTGTGTGTGTGTATCTGTCTCTACCATTCTCTCTCTCTCTCTCTTTTGCTCTCTCTCTTTCTGTGTGTGTATATGCCTGTCTTTAATCCTTTTTAGATGAAAAATTTTTGCACTGCTTTATTCCATCCTTTACATGGTATAATGGCACCTATGAAATCATAAACTTAGCTAAACTGTGCATATCAAAACAGTAAGAAAAGTAACTAAAAGGTTAATAGAGAAGGATCCTCTTTAAAGACAGGTTGAGTAGCCAAGTGGGGACACATGAATGTGTGAATCTCACTGAGAAGAGGAAGTAGAACAGATATCTTGTGTGGATGATAGGGGCTGGGAGGGGAAAGGGAGGAATCAGGTCAGGGTAGGAGAAATGGAGGGAGTACTGGGAGAGACAGCTGGAAGGAATCATACAACTGGGCAACTGGACAGAATCAAGGTACCTCTGTTTTGAGGTAGAAACCCAGAACTATGGAAACTCTCAGGAATCTATGATGGTAACTCTAGATAAGACTCCTAGCAATGAGGAATAGGGAGCCTGACATGGCCATCTCCTGTAACCAGACAAGACTTCCAATGGAGGGATTGGGAGACCAACCCAGCCACAAAGTCTTAGTCCTACAAATTTTCCTGCTTACACAATGTTCAGGGGTAAAGATGGAGCAGACATTGAGGAAATGGCTAAGAAAAGATTGGTCCAGCTTGAACCCTATGGCATGAGAAGGAGCCCACCCCTGGAACTGTTAAGTAGATTCTGCTATACTTGTAGAAAGGAGCCTAGCATAATTGTCATCAGAGAGGCTTTGTCCAGCAACTGATGGATGCAGATACAGAGACGCACAGCTAAACATTAGGGGGAACCTTGGGATTTCTGTGGAAGTGGAGGAGAAATTATAGTCATCAGAGGGGTCAAAGACAACACAAGAACACCTACAGAACCAACCAGCCTAGCCCTATAAGGGTCCACACAGACTGAACTGCCAACCAGATAGCAGGCACGGGACTGACCTAGGCCCTCTGCACACATGTAACAGTTGTGCAGCTTAGTTTTCATGTGGGGCACCTAGCAGTACCAGCAGGGTCTTGTTAGGACTCTTTCCCTCTTCTGGGCGACCTCTTCTAGCCTCAAAGAAGAAGATGCACCCAGTCTTACTGCAACTTGATATGCCAAGGCTAGTGGATATCCATGGGAGGCCTCCCTTTTTCTGAAGAGAAAGGGCAGAGGAGTGTGTGAGGGAAGGAGAGAGGGGAAGATGGGGTGGGGGGAGGCAAAGGGGAAACTGCAGTCAGGATGGAAAGTTAATGAATAAATTAATTTTTTAAAAAAGGTCACAGACAGGCCCTGCTCATTGGCATTTTGATCACCTCCTCCTGGAAGGTGCAGCCTTGCCAGGCAACGGAGGAAGATGATGCAGCCAGCCCTGATGAGACCTGATAGGCTAGGGTCAAGATAGAAAGGGAGGAGGTTCTCCCCTATCAGGCGCATAGGGGGAGAAAAGGGAGGGAGGGTGGGACTTGGAGGAGATGAGGGAGCGAGCTACAGCTGGATACAAAGTGAATAAACTGTAATAAATAATAAATAAAAAAAGGACAGGTCAGGTGTATGTGACCTACGCAGTTGATGAAAAAGAAACGTTTCAAAGGTTGGCAGTGGCTGTTCTTATTCAACTAACGCAGAATAAGTCTTTACTTACTGAAATATACAAATGGGCATAAGAGAAGTTCCAGGAGCCTGGCTTACAGTTACAATTAAACAAGCTGAGAATAGTGTCTTTTGTCCCATCTCCAAGATAGAACAGATAGTTTTCTTTAGATCTTCTCTGCTGGCATCTTATTTTCTGTTATAAGAAATGACACAGAGGCCGGGGCGGTAGTCCTGTCTACAAACTACTTGTGCATAAGAACGGACATCTGAATTTGAACCCTTGAACCCAAGTAAAAGAAGCCAGTATGGTGGCGAGTCTCCTGTAAGTCCAGTGCTGAGAAAGCAGAACAGGGGAGGCCTGGGCTCCCTGGCCAATCAGAGAAGTCTTCTTAGCAATTTCCAGGCTAATAAGAGACCATGTCTTGGGAAAACAACGTCCTTAGAAACAACGTCCTGAGAAACTGCGTCCTTAATTACCCTCTTGCTTTCATATATATGTGCACATATGTGTACACGCATATCACAACTACACAAACATGAACACAGACACACACCCACAGAAACAGAACATTAAAGAGGCAATTAATGTAAATCTATACCTATTCCATGAATGCACCCAAAGTTTTCCATTTCCACCAAAACCCTGAAATGGAATAGTTATGATTTGTTTCTATGGTTACTAAATAGGTTTTCTCCATTCACTAAAGTAGAAGACTGACTTATGTGCTTAAAAAATTTACAGAATATATTATGATTTACTTACCATTTAAAAAATATTGAACAGAAAGTTCAAGTTACATAATTATGGAAATTTAATATCAGTTAAGATGTACAAATTAGGTTTATATTTAGTAGCATGATTGAACATAAATGTTACAAACCATGCTTGCTTCAGCAGTAGATACACTAAAATGGAAACAGTATAAAGAGAATTGACAAGGTCCCTGTGAAAAAATGCTATACAAATTTGTGAAGCATTCCATATTTGTAAGTACAAAAAAAAATCCTCAACCAAGAGCTGATATACATACATCAGTTTTAATAACTCATATGGCTGTGCAGAAGTGTCATATAAATATGCACTTTATCATTTTCATAAAAAGATATTTAGCTTGTTTCTAGCTTTTTCCCATTTTGAGTGTTGATAAAGTGAACATGCTTGTATTTGTTCATTCAGACAAAAGATTCCACAGCAAAGAGCTTCTTCAACATTTTCCACTCATAACTGCTTTCACTCAAGAAGATTTTAGATAATCCCAAGTGTATAGAGTTATAACGTGGATACATATCCCAATATTTTCTGTTAGTAAATGATAAATGATAGTAAATGATAATAAATTTATTTAGATAAAAGATAAAAGAAAATTTGCACATTAACAAAGTGGATATACATATTTATTTTATATGAATTTTCATGGATAAAAATTTGATATTGTAAGATCTAGAGAATCTTCAATATCTTTTGAGGTTGATCAGTATATGGCTTTGAATTAAACACAATACAAAACATAAAGAGTATGTTTATAACCATTTCAAAAATTATAAACAAAACAGGATTCATTTAGCAATTTAACCATTTTTTCAAAATAAAACATAAGCCAAAAAATTTTTTTGAAAATCAGCCATTTTAATGTGATATACTTTGAAGACACATTATTTTTATATATCTATGTTAGAGAATGGTGAGAGAAAGTATTAAAAATCATTATTTTTCATGACTGGGAAGAAACCTCAGAGGTTAAAAGTACTTTCTGCTCATTTGGAAGACCCAGATTTGGTTTCCCATACCCATATGGTGGCTCAGAAAACATCAATAACAACATTGTTCAAGGGATCTGACATAGCACATAGAGACATGCAGACAAAACACAGAAAATCAAAACAGAGAAATCTACCTTTAAAAGTCATTATTTTTATAAACAAATCATTGTGTTTCTACAAGAGTAGAAAACATTGAAGAGCAAATGCTGTCCATTTGCACACAGGACTAAATGATTCATCCGGACACATCATGGGAAACAATGGGATCACAGCATGCTTGGTTTTCAGTAAGTTTTTTGTTACTGCACATTCAGAAAAATCTAAGTGTTGCCAGATCTTTCATGATGCCCAGATTTAGTTACATGGAGCATATATCATCATCCACGTATGATCATATATGAATCTGGGTTACAGAGTACACACTGAACAGAAGAAATGCTTGATAATTGTGTAGGAAATATTTAAACCTCTACTTATATTCTCCAATGTTCACATCATTTCACATCCTCTGTGTCTGAGAAATCTTGTTATTTGTCCTTACAGTACTTCATATTGTAAGTTGTTTAGGAATAGTAAAAGAATTTCTTTTGCTGATAGCTAATTTGACGTATGTTAGAAACTTAATCAGCATTACTATTCACTCTTATGTAATTGATATACATAAACTACATACTCTCATAAGCATGGATGTGCATTCTAAACTCGTGTGTGTGTGTGTGTTTGGTTTTGCATGTTGGAATTCAATTTTTTTACATGATTACTCTACTCTCATTTTATCTATCATACAATTGTAAATATCTTTCTGCTATCTAGGCTTTAAATTTTCATTTTTACTGGCTTACTTTATTTTTTGGTCAGTAATTTTTAAATATATGATAGCTTTCTTTTCTGTTGGATATGTCTCTTTATACCCCAAAGGTATATGTTTTCTATTTTTCTGTAAGATTTTGCTTTATAAATTTATGTATGTAATTAGCAAGCCCATATTTGAAGTTTAATGGTATCAGTTCAAGAAACAAATATATGTATATATATATATATATATATAATTATTTATACTATATGCTACTTTACAACAAAATGTTATTTATACTCACAATATTGAACAAAGCAATACCCCAGGTGTTAAATACTTCATTATTCTAATTCATGGTTTTCAACCCTCCTAATACTGTGACTCCTAATACCTCATGCTGTGGTGACACCCAAACATAAAATAATTTTGTTGCTACTTTGTAATTATAATTTTGCTATTGTTATAAAGTGTAAATAAAATTTAATGTAAATATCTGATAGTTAGGATATCCTGAATATGATCTTCAAAGGGGTCACAACCCACAGGATGAGAACCACAATTCTAATTCATCATCAAATGAATCTTTCAATATTCAATCCACTGAATATATCTTACTTGTAAATTAAAATAAATGTCCTATAAGACATTCAACTTGATTATAAACTTACCTTATAAAGTTTGATTATATTTGATTCAATATCATTTAGACATCTTTAACACAAGTACACTTGACAAAATGTGTACAAAATGAGTCCAACGACAGCTGAGGTTTTGAGACTATAAACTGAAATTGTTTAAAACATGGCTGAAAAACAAGCTTGTTTTTTTATAAAATTAAGAAAATCAGAATAAAAAATAATCCAAATTATTAAAATTTCAATATGAATATCTAATTATTTATAAAAAGAATATTTAAAGCTCACCTACACCTACATAGATAATCCAAATTGCAGAAAATTATTTCTTTGTTTCATCTATTAGATTAAAAGTTACACAAATTTTTAGTTACCTGTCTTTGAATAGTGAACAAAATATAAACTCTCTGGATCTGCTACATTAGTTGTTTTTTGTTGTTGTTGTTTTGTTTGTTTGCTTGCTTGTTTGCTTTTTTAGGGTTATTTTTAAAGTTTTTTTTTAATTTACTCTTTCTATAATTTTAATAGCCCATCAATTTTAATTTCCATTGTCCATATACTGCTGGGTATGAGGTTTTCCACTGGACTATGGTCAACCTACCGGAAGCCTCACTCTTAATGAAAACTGACTCAATAGTTCTATAGCTGTCGGCATGGCCTCATGAACACTTCCATCCATCCATGCTGGAACTTTGGCTGGTTTGTTCTTGTGCATGTAGCAGCAGTTGTTATGATTTTATGAGTGCAGTCCTGCTTTGATGCCCAGAATAAATTGCTCTTGTCTGGTTCTCTTAAAATCTTCTTACTTCCTCTTCCACAGTTGACTGTGAGTTTGTGGGAAAAGTGTGATGCAGCTGTCACATAATGACCGGGAACGCTAGGATCACTTATTCTCTGAATTCCCAACATCTGAGCTTCTGTGTTAACCACAATCCACCAAAGAGGCCCTCTGAGGAGGCCTGAAAGCTGCAATAAACTATGGGCAGAGAGATGTAAATTGAGAGAGGAATTTGATATTGTGGCCGATTAGCAAAGTACTATAGTAAGTTCACATCTGTTTGCCTATCATTTCTGCAAACCAGGATTCTTGGTCAGATTTGAAGTACCAGACATGTTTTTTTTTTTTTTTTCCTTCTGTAATTAGCCTTTAACTCAATCAGAAACCAGTTCATTATGCCCATAACATTTATGACACTATTTGCACCCATAGCATATCTGATTATGCTTACTCAACATCCACAGTTTGCCAATTAAAAACAAAAACAAAAACAAAACAACAGTGTAGGATATCTCCTCTTGATTCACTGGTAAGAGGTGTCCCAGAGATCCTCAAAACAATATAGCCTCTCGCCATTGCTCTAGTTTGCCCACTAGCATTTGATGGTAAAACCCTGTTGCTGAAGACAACGTGACACAAACGTGACACATCTGTCACAGAACTTGCAGAACTCATGTCAGTTCTGACTGTGTAGCCTACAACCTGTTGGACAGTTAACAGATTACCAGAATGTTCTATGCAGACTCTTATGGGGAAAAGAGCCAATAACCGTCTTGCCTAGCTCTGAAAACTTTGAAATAAAATTTACTTCAATTAACATATAACAGCACATGTCCGTTAATACCTGTGCATGAAATGTAATTATTAAGTCCCAGTGATTGGCATTTTGACCTTGCTTGCTTGAGCTGTGAGGTGTGAGAAGACTCCTTAGACTGGGCTTTGCTGTGTACCTCTCGGTCTGGCTTTTATCCTTACGCTTCAGCCTAGCCAGTGCCGGGATCACAGTTGTTCCCTGCGAAACCCAAGTCCTTCCATTTCTTGCTTGTAGCCCTCAAATGCCCAACTCCTTCTGTATCCTTCCTGTCTACTATCCACAGTCCTCCTCTTTCACTTTCATGCATCAACGTGGTTATGAGTTGTGAGTGAAGGCTAATTTCATAGATATCATATCAGGATATTTTACTCTTCCTGGGGCAATTCTATCATTGATTAGGTTTTTTTTTCCCCTAAGAATTTTTCTTGATTTTATTTAATTTAACTAGAAATACAAACATTTAAATTTATTTATAAAACCTTATTCATTTAAAGCATTAATATTTATAAAATTTTATACATAAAATGTAATTCCTTTCTTGGCACTGCTTATTTGTTGCCTCTGACTTTTAATATTTTTCATGGTTTATCTGTTTTAATACTCATAGTTAGCTTTTCATTTAGTTGCTCATTTTAGTTTTTCAAATTTATGGAATTTTTAAATTAATTATATCGTTCTTACTAATTTAAATGTTATTAAAAAGAATAGACTATAAGAATGGAAATAATATATTTAACAAGACGTACTCAACTCTGTACTCCTGTATGTCTAAGGCTTCTCAAGTTTATCTATGCTAAATGTCCTGTCAGGACTCAGCAGATCAGCTTGCACAACTGTCAGAGACATGTGACAGAAAGTTTACCCTACTGAGTGTTTTATGTAAAATTTATATGACATGTCTATGCACTCAAATAAAAGATTTCTTAAAAGATTAGTTTCATCGTGTGTATTTTACTACTTGTTTTTGTTCTGTAAATATCTTAAACTACAGTCAGACCCAGTGATTATTTTGTAACAATTTCTTCAATATGACAAGGCGTTTGTACTTTTATATAAATATAATGGTCTGGCCAGTAATGGAACTTAGTCATAGTTTTTTTCATATACGGGTACAATAGCAAAGAAGTCAGCCTCCATATACTTCTTCCAAAACCGGTGACTGTAGCACTGTTTTATCTTCCATTTCTTTCCTACATGACTGAATG